TGATATTGGAAGAGTCATTGGGAGTCCTCCTCAAAACTCAGATATTTATCAGTGCTTAATATATGCCAAATATCTGCACTCAATAGCAAACCCGAAAGATTGGAAGGTAAAATAGCAGGGAGGAGTGTAGACACTAGGGACAGTATAACAGGGAGTGCAAGGGAGATTAGGGGGAAAAAACCTTTAAGAGACATAAAAATGGGAAGATTTCTGTTGATGATAATATATATGGTAATATCATTGACTTGACTAATATGCAATGTATTCATGCTAAGAAAAAAACCATGTACAGTGATTAAATGTAAGTTTTTAAAAGTGTAAACAATATTATTTTAAATCTATGATTTTTTTAAATAAATATATTGCAGAAAGACTTCTTAGAAAAGGAATAATAGTGCTACCTGGTGTCATGGTTGTTAAGGCAGCTGGATCCCCCATGATCAATGAGTCCTGGACCTAGTGGTTTGAGAAACACACAAGTCACTTGTATATGCATGCCCAAAAATCCCCAAAGGAAGAAATGATGGAGTAGAAAGGATTATGGTGTGACCATGTACTAGGCGGCACTTTCTCACTGCCCCCATTTCCCCCTTGTCTCTGTTTGGCAAGCACACATACCCTCTGGCAAACGAAAGAAAGAAAGAGAAAGAAAGAAGATAATATGGGAGGATAGATGTTATTAAATGACTCTCTCTCCAGGTGGCAAAATCTAGGGATTATAACAGAGAAATGTGACCCCTATTCACCCTATGGCCTGCTCAGCAAACTCCTTCTACTAGATCTTATTCAGATCACAAAATGCATTGGTGAATCTAAAAGTCTGTGAACTAAGAAAAACTGTCTATGGGCAGAGATTCCAATGTATCTTTGGGATGAACGTATTTATTACTTTTTTTTGGGGGGGAGAGGTTTTTGCTATAGGGCGCGTGCGCTCGCCAGACAGAGAGAGACAGACAGAAAGCGAGAAATCACCCCCCAGGGGGGATGGCCATGCTGCAATCCCTTCTCCTCCAGTCTCCTCTCAGGATCTTAGGACGCACGCACATGCGCCCCGCGTGAGTTTTAAGCCACCAGGTCCAGGACGCAAACCACGGTCGACTACGTGGGAGTCCAGCGACATAGCCATTACGCTAACTGCTGGTCCCGGGATGAACGTATTTTCATAAGACCAGTGAGCTTACATTAGGCAAATTAAAGTGTATGCTCAAAACCCAAGATAACATCTTCTGGAAAATCTGCTTATGTAGTTTAAACATAGGTCTAGCTAAATCAGTAGTGAAAATTAAAGCCCTTTACTTTAACAAGAAACTTCTTTTGTTCCCCTTTATTCATTTGCCAACATTTTTGTGTGCAGAGCAGGACTAGGCTTGGTGCTATGGGTCTAGTGAGAAAGAGGGTCAAGTCATCCAACGTTTAGGTAAGAATATCAAGACAATTGCTATCAATGACAAAGAGCCAGATTTCAGTTGACAGGGTAACATTTCAAATTTGAAAAACTAGAGTGGCTTTTGTTTTTGTTTTGTTTCTGCCATAGGGTACTGTGCTAACTGGAGAGAGACAAAGAAAAGAAATGTGAGGAATCACCCCCAGGGAGGATGACCATACCACAGTTCTTTTCCTCCATTCTCTTCCTGGGATTTTGGACACACACTCACACAGACCCAGTGTGATGTTTAAGCCTCCATTTCCAGTACTCAAACTGAATTTGGCCATGTGAGAATCTAGCACCTTAACTACCACACCACCTGCTAAAAAAAAAAAAAAAGACTTAACTAGGTATGGAAGGCAGAGAAAGGGACCAGCAGTTGGCATAATGGCTATGTCGCTGGACTCCCGTGTAGTCGACTATGTTTTGAGTCCCGCATCCAGTGGCTTAAACTCACGCTGGGCGCGTGTGTGCGTGTGCCCAAGATCCGAGAGGAGAATGGAGGAGAAGGGAATATGGCTTTGCCATGCCCCCTGGGGGGTGATTTCTCGCTTTCTGTCTCTCTAGCTCTCTCTGTCTTTCTGGAGAGTGCACATACCCTATAGCAAAAAAAAAAAAATTCTAAAAAAATTAAAGAAAAAAAAAGCCAGAGGCAAATTAGCTAATCACTTAATGTTAGAGGTCTTTGTTCAAAAGAGATAAAGAGAAGGATACGGAAACAGCATTGTTGAGACAGAGAGGTAGTATTGTTATATTTTGATCAACTGGACCAGGGAGAAATGTTCACATATTGAAATGATCACCTTGTAAGCTGAAAAATGTGATTGAATGTATTAAAAAGAGTAAATAAAAAAAATAAAGTTAAAAAAAGAGAGATAAAGAGATACGAGACCATGATGATCCATTAGGAAAAGAGGCTTATTTCTTAAACATCTGTCAAGGGCTTAGCATTCTGCTGGACATACGGCACACCAAAGAAGTAAGTATAGTTTGGGTCAGAAGAGTTTAAAATCCATTTAAGGAGTCAAAGCCTAGAACTATAAAGCACTAATAAAAAAAAAAAAGAAAGAAAGAAAGAAAGAAAGAAAGAAAGAAAGAAAGAAAGAAAGAAAGAAAGGGGGTTCATGTTAGCATGAGTTTTTAAAATTATATATTTTTTCTTTTAATTTGTCAGAGGTGGGTGTGCTCACCACACAGAGAAAGTGAGAGAAGGAATTAAGAAAGTGCCCCTATATGGGACAATTTCTTTTCCTCCGTATCTCCTTCTTTTTGGGATTTTGGGCACACATGCACATATCCCCAGTGTGTTTTAATCTACTGGACTGGGACTTAGAAATGTGCAGTCGGCCATGTTGGATCCAGCCATCTTAACCACCAGGCCATGGGCTAGTCCCAAATTGCACTTTCTGACATATGATAGCTAGACATATTCAATGGGTACAATATGGTTTTTCAAGATATAAATTCCATAGGTAATGATCAATAGAAAGTCACACAAACATTTTCCGTTATTTTATTTTCATTATGTTATAAAGGAGGACAATATAATCTACTCAGTGAAAGAATTTGCATAAGGGGTATATGTATTATCAATATTTATGCAGTTTAGTCTTTCTACCTTCAGGAGAAAACAGTGTTTGAGGACTTTGTTTTGTGTAATTTCAATTTGTCCGGATACGTATATATTTCCTTCTGTGACAAGTAATCAAATGTGTGTCAAAAACTAGACCTTCTGGGAAAATAAAAGGATAAGGCATGAGGCATAGCTCTTGGCAAAGATCTCAAAGCCTGACACCCCTTTTGTAGACTAACACGTTTGCTGTACCATTGCCAGAGAAGATGGGAGTCAGGCAAGGGGGAGGAGATGGCCAGGCAGGTCTGTCATGATACATGCCCTATTATTCTTTTCTCTCACACTACCAAGAACATTCCTGCAAAAAGTGTCCCTCTAATGCACAGAGAATTAGATTCTAGAGGGAAGAAGACCATAGTGCCATTTCCACATACAAGAAACCCTTAAATAGTAAAGGATATAAACATAAGGATTATAGGGAATTTCTCATTTCTAGCAAATTCCAGCCCCACCACTGACGAGCTCTGCCACACTGAACAAATAACCTCTCTTTGGGTGATCTTACACAAAAAAAAGCCGATACTAATAATTGGTCCCTTTTCTTAACTATGAAATAGAGATAATGGGTTGCGAGTTTTAAATGATAAAGAAACAACTAATGCTCTTATCAGAAAAGTATTAAGTATTCACTGTAACTTTTCCAAAAATAATGAGCAAATGTGAAGGCAGAGACTGAATAAAACTGAGGGTAGATATCATGATTACTTAAAGTAACCATGTAGAATTATTTTAAAGGCAAGGACCGTCCAGATGATGTGAGTCAAGTCACTGGAAAACAGAAAAGGCTACAGAAGCTTGACCATTACCTTCCAAACAGAAGCAATCAATTTTTAAGAATCTGGCTGAAAAAATACCCTTGGCTTGTATACGATGAGTTATTAAATCTTATGTTCTGTGCCCTGTGCCGGAAGCATGGAGTGAAGTCAGGGACAAGTCAAGTGAGTTTTTTTTATGGCACTGACAACTTCAGGGCTGAATTTCTCAATGCACATCATCTCAGCGAGGCTCATGCCAAGTCTTCATTAATGGAAGCCACAAGCGATTCTCCAGTGAACAGAGCCACCACTGAACTAATGGTGAAGACCATGAGCAAAGTAACCCTTGGGAGAGTAGAGAACTTATTCAGATCATGCCATGCTATTGCCAAGACCGGACGTCCCCTCAAAGATTTTATTTGGATGTGCAAGTTGGATGACATGAAGGGTGTTGATATAGGCCCAGTGTTCAGAACTAATAAATCAGCAAAAACATTTACATATTTTATTGCTGAAGTAGAACGGAAAAATCTAAGAGAGAAGCTAGAAAAAAGTAAATTTTTCTCAGTCATCAGTGATGGAATCATAAATAGTTTAATCCAGGAAGCTGAACTTGTCTATGTGCAGTTTGCACATGCAGGGAAAGTGCATTGTCAAATTGTTGGGGTACAGATAATAGACAAGAAGGACCCTGTGGGAATAAAAAATGCCATAGAGAAAACTCTTGAGGTAAACCTTCAACTTAAGCTGTCAAGCCAAGACTGGGCAAAGAAACTGGTTGGTTTTGGAAGTGATAATACCCTTGGCATAGAAGGAGAGAACAACGGGGTGGCCCTGCTTTTAAAGGAAATCCAACCATGTGTGCAGATTGTATATTGCTTTGCACATCACCTTGAACTCTCTTACAAGACAGCATTCCAGAGCATTCCCCTGTACAACAATGTCATAGACCTCCTTCACGGAATTTATCACTTCTATCACAATTCTCCTCTTCATAAGAGTTCTCTGATAACTGCTTTCAAAGGCCTTCACCTTCGTCCTGTGATGCCTTCTCAAATAGGAGCCAGGAGGTGGCTTCATGGATTACAGGCAGCTCTCCAGAACTTTCTCAAGGGTTATCCTGCAATTGTCCAGCAACTGACCTCAGTAAGTAATTTGAAACTCTGTATTGTTTTATTTTTTCAAGAATAATAGAAAATACTTTTTTGAGCTAACCACCATGCTATTCCCAACGATGTTACAGGCAGAGGAAGACAGAAGTGACATCAGTCAACAGAAAGCCAAAGAACTTCTAGAATTACTTCTCCAAGCTGACATTGTTAAATTTGCCCATTTCTTGGTGGATGTCATTAATGTCCTTAGCATTCTGTCTCGTGTCAGTCAGAACAGAAATTCCTCGATTGCTGATATATTCGCCACCTTAGAGTCAACGCTGGAAATACTCCAAATGTATCAAACAAGGTAAGGGATCAGGGAGGATCTGAAATCTATCAAGCCAGATAGTTTTACTTGGGAACTTTTTTTGTCAGATACTTCTTTATTTAATTTTTCTTTGGGTGACTCTTTCTTTTCCCAGACCGGGGCCAAAAGAACGCAGGGTGGATTCAGTCACACACTTTCACGGAAACCACCTCAGAGGAAAAGAAAACATTTCTGCCGTGAGAAACATGGTTTTAACACATCTTATCAAGAGGCTGCAAGGCTGTTTCAGAGATGTCAGCCAAGATGTGGTGAGGGCAACCATGATTGGAAGCTTTAAATTGTGGCCCACAAAGATAAATCAAGGTATCAAGGTGCTGACTCTGAAACTGTTATTCTTTGTCTGTATGAGTTTCTTTTACATATGTGACTTTTCTTTTTTGGTTGTTTTTTTATTATTATTATTATTTTAACTGCAGAATTTGGAGAAAAAGAGGTATCCATACTGCTTGCACATTATGAACCAGTGTTAGAAGCTGCCAATGTGGAAATAGATGAAGTGGACACTGAATGGAGCATGTTGAAATTAGAAATTTACGCCAGGTAAGCAAGAAAGAAAGCTGAATACATTGTTTGATATTTACAAATATTCAAGTAAAACCTTTCATCCTCCCTCCTAGGTTCCAGAACATTCGGAAGTTGACCTGGGATTTTGTGAATTCCATATACTTGCACAAGTATCCAAATATCCTGACACTGGTGGACCTGGTGCTGACCCTCCCTGCAAGTTCAGCTGAAGCAGAACGTGGCTTTAGTCAGATGAGACGTACCAAGTCACAGTCACATGCTAAAATAAACACTGAAAGCATGACGGATATCTTGATCATTCAACTGAATTCTCCAGACATTAGTAATTTTGACCCCAGGAAAGCTATTCATTTATGGAATACAAGAACACCATCTTCAACTGGTGACACAAGACCTAATTCAGATTGCTCATCCAACTCAGAAAGCCACTATGAAAGTGATTAGTAATGTGGCCAATGTTGACTTTGTTGTCGATTATAGCAATTTTCTAAAACCTGAAATTTAAACATAAAATAGTAACCAGTCTCTACTTCAAACACAAAAGGCATTTGGCATCTTACAAACATACAAGGCAAAAATCCAAAGTCTGTTTTTTCTGTAATTTTCTCTTTAAAAATTTTTTTTGTTTTTATTTTATTTTTTTTACATTCAGTTACTGTGTACTATTACAGCATACCAAATGAATTTTCTGATCATGAATACACTGTTGGTTCAGTTTGAGCTACCTCACGTCTGTATTCAGGCATTTGTCTGCGTTCTTGGGGTTGAGGTGTATCCTTTTAAACAACAACATTATGTTGATATCGTCTTTCTCAAAATTGTTCCTAATGGTAATGATGTTATGCCTAGGCCAAGCCTGCAATGAACTGCTTTTCTACATAATTCTAAATAATAGTTGCATGAGATAGCTTATGATTTAATTTTAAAAACTTTTTTTTTTAATCCATGAAAAAATGTGTAAGAGAATCTATGTTATTGCATTATATATGAAAATCATCACTTCATGCCTTGGGCATTTAAGTAACAAGGTCAAATATTAAAACAGTTTTTATATTCTACACTGTGATGCCCAGATTTCTGTGTAAACTGAAACTGTCGTCATACAACATTTTCTTTTACACCATAACTATCAGAGACAGTGGAAATACATTGTGTATTTACCTGAATTGTTAAATATTTTGAGTCTTTTTATGGTTTCAGCAGATTTCATTTATGGTTTCATCTTGAGGACCATGACTGATTAATTTCTAACTTACCTGAAAACCAATATGGTATCTTATGAAGCTCAGATTACTGAAAATTCTGCTACCTGGAAAAAGGTTCTTATCTCTGCAAAATTGGTTACTCGGGTTGATCAAAAGGATACAGAATTTCTTTCTGAACAAACTGCTAGATGGAGAGTTATATCAAAGAATGAAAAATTCCACTCTTATTGCCCAGAAAATTACTTTTCAGATATCAAAACTGTATATTTGATTTGAACCACTGACATTTTAAAAGGATTATTACATTCTCCTAGAGGCTAGAAATGACAAAGTTCATATAGACGTTTAGAAATGCTAAAAACTTAGATGCAAATGAAAACTTTGAGAGGCTATATGTCCATGTTTTACTCTGTAATCCTAACTGAAGCATAGCTATGTACTCTATTCCTGAAAGATATCTGGATACACATTAGGACTCTCCCTTGGCTCCAAAAGGTATTCATAATGTGTGGGGTAGCTAGATATTTTTCAGACAGATTAATTTATTTTGTTTTTCTTTCTTTTTTTAGTGCATGTGCATGCAGTTTGAAATGAAAAGTAGATAAAGCAGACTTCTCTTTTAGACAATAAAGTAGTTCAGAGTATAAGAGCAAAGTATTGAAAAGATTAGTGATCTTTTATGAAATCCTTGGGAATACAAAGCCACTTAAATGACTGAATTACTATTTTCAATTCAGTAATTTAATAATTCAACTCTCCCTACATTTATAAAAGCCATTGCATTCTCATCTGAAGGGCAATTGAAAATAAATGTATTAGTTTGATTACAGTGGTGATATGCAAGCATTTGAAACACCTTTACCTCATATTTATCAAAATGTTTTACTCTGTGCTTCATTGCATATAGGAAACTTTAGAGTAATATTTTCAAAGTTCAACCTATTCTGAGTAAAAGATCAAAGAAGATTCCAGGGACTGGCATCTGGCATGGTGGTTAAGATGGCTGGACTCCCACATTGCTGACTGATTGCGGTTTGAGTCTCGGACCTGGCAGCTTGCTTTCTCACTTTCTTTCTCTCTCTGACTTTCACTGGTCAACTTCAAAAATAAGTAAATACATAAATAAATAAGGACAATGAGCAAAATTAAATAATTCTAAAAAAAGAAGATTCCAAACCAAAAGTATGCAGTTTTAGTGGTTTTTTTAAAAATATGAATAAACTAGTAATAGTTCCCCTAAAAAAAAAAAATTTAACTCAATTAAGAAACAATCAAACTGCATCAGGAAATCAATTATTTTTAAAATTTATATTAAAGAACTATTTATTTAATTTAATATATTTAAATTTAACCAGAGAAAAAGAAAATTAGAAAGCAACCTGCCAGGTTCAGGACTCGGCCCCTGGTTGGTCATACATGTAGGAGTCCAGAGCCTCAATCACTCCACCTGCCAGCCCCTGGAAAGGGATTACTTTTAAGTTTTCAAAATCTCATCTGCTTCTCTGAAGTTTATGGTTTTAAATAATAAAAACTGTCATATAGGTGACAAAATATTTTCCATTGTACTATAGGCATAATAGGAAATAAAGCATTTACTGACATCCTCCTTGATTTGGTAACACTGAACCTCGGAACAAACAGCTTTCCCAGTAGTTGGATGCACCTCTCCCAACCTGACGTAAGCTCCATTTGATTTGGGTTTTAAAGTTTTGAACACTCCTCTTACTTGATGAATGAGTCAATAGTTTGGGGGGACAAACAGTACTTGAACAGTGTCTGATATTTAGTAGACAATCAATGAAACCTGAAGGAATAAAGAAATGAATTAACTTTCAATTATGGTGTACAGTAGGCACATGTTCAGTATTTGAAGAATGATGATGATCTAACAGCAAAACGTTAAGGTTCAACCAATGAGTTTGTATTTATTATTACCCAGTGGAATGGTTCTAATTAGTGATAGTAGATGACACTGGCAGTTCTTGCTTTCCATCATAGGCTTCTCCTTAAGGATGTATTAGAAAACAAAATCATTCAAGAGCATTTCCCATATGGACTGTAGGACTCTTGCACAGACATAACTGTAAGCTTTATCCTTCCTTTGTTGAAGATACGAAAGTAACTGGAGTCACATGGATAAATTGGTTTTGTAGAAGTCAGCAAAAACCAAATGTCAGGAAAGCAAAAAATGAAACACTTTCCAGGGACTGTCTGCTATGGGTTGGTTCCTAGAACAAAGGGAACAAAAGGGAACTCTATTTCTTTCTTTCACCCCAACTTCCTACTATAAAAACCTGAACTCATGGAGCATCGTGATAGTCATATAAATATTCCAGTTTTGTTTCCTGGTTTCTTCTAGTTGCAGGAGTTGACAAGTTTATTAATAGTAAACTCAGAATTGGTGGACTGGCGGAAATTCTTGTTGGTAACCTCGATGCCCTGGCCTATCCCTCTGGAGGAGGAGCTCTTAGACACTCTGCAGAGGTTCAAGGCTGTGGATGAGGAGCAGTTGGGTACCATCACTTTCGAGCAGTATATGCAGGTATATGCACCAGCACTTGGTTGCACCAATAATCCCAGAATGCTTTTGACCTAAGAAGTATTTGACTCAATGATGTCACATGTCACATGGCCATGGTCTTTGGTCATTGTTTCATACCTGAGAGGGGCTGGAATTCCTTTTTTATGCCTCTAATAATTGAATCCATCCATTGTTCACCATTTCATATTGTTGGTAGAGATACAAGAACAAGGGAAATGTTCATAAGGTACTGACTTTGGGTGACACCATCTAGACGCCTCTATCTCACCTGTCTCACCATTGACGGACGGGTCACATCCCTTCTTGCTTCTCAGGGAAATGTTCATAAGGTACTGACTTTGGGTGACACCATCTAGACGCCTCTATCTCACCTGTCTCACCATTGACGGACGGGTCACATCCCTTCTTGCTTCTCAGGGAAATGTTCATAAGGTACTGACTTTGGGTGACACCATCTAGACGCCTCTATCTCACCTGTCTCACCATTGACGGACGGGTCACATCCCTTCTTGCTTCTCTTTTCTTCCTTAATTACTGGGTAATGTTTTTGCTCATTTGTTTGTTTTTTAGGTTTTTGCCTCTCAGTGCATGCATGCACTCAATGGAAAGAGACAGAGACAGAGGGAATGTGTGAGAAGTTGCCCCCCGCCCCATTGGGGAATGCCCATGCCAAAATGCCCTCTCCATTCTCTTCTTAGGATTTTGGGTACACATGCATATGTGTCTGGTGTGATTTTCAAGCCACCAGTTTAGGTACTCAAATCGTAGTCTGCCAGGTGGAAGTCTAGCACCTTAACCATGCCACCTGTCAGTCCCAATTTTTTTTACTTTTTTTTTTTTTTTTTTTGTGGGGTTTTTTTTTTTTTTTTTTTTTTTTTTTTTTTTTTTTTTTTTTTTTTTTTTTTTTTTTTTTTTTAGGGTGCATGCGCTCACCAGACAGACAGAGAGAGACAGAGAGACAGAATGCGAGAAATCACCCTCAGGGGGGATGGTCACGCTGCAATCCCTTCTCTTCCATTCTCCTCTCGGGATCTTGGGCACGCATGCACACGCGCCCGGCGTGAGTTTTAAGCCACCGGGTCCGGGACATGAACCACGGTCGACTACGTGGAAGTCCAGCGACATAGCCATTACGCTAACTGCTGGTTCCCCCAGTCCAAATTTTTTAAAGGTAGCCTGGAAGTTACTCTTCTTACATCGTTGAGCTAGAAGAAATGTCACTTGAAGATTCTTTGGTGGCAAAACAAGTGTTTGCCTGATTTATTTATTTCACAAGTAAAGCAATTTACGAATGTTGTCACTGTCTTTGGCTTATTATTTGTTAAGGTGATTTTGTTTGACAACACACACAGCACAGCAAAACATATGCACTTCCATAGATAGCTTAAGACTTCTCAAAGTGGGCACTTAGGAAATTGCCAACCTTCCCTATTTACAACATTGTCCAATTAACACAGGATATCAAAATGAACATCCTTTTGCACAAACATGAAAAGAACAAAGGGTGTTGTCAATTTTTACCAAAGTGCTGAGCCCAAACCAGAAAGCTCCTCTAACCAAAAGTGTGAATTTCTTAGAGATCGTTGGCTGTTTCATTTAATAGATACTCAGAAATATTTAATCACAGCCTGTGTGGGAAGCAGTTGATTCTGAGCTCACCCTCCCTTTGCCCACTCAGTTCTCAGTTCTCCAAGGACCCAGATACTGAGGCCATTTGGACAGACTAATGTAACCATGTTACTAGTTGCTAGTTAGCCACTGCTCCCCACCCCCTCCCCGGCCCCATTCCCCGAAGAATATTGTTGTTTCATGGCAAAAAAAAAAAAAAAAAAAAAAGGAAAAAAAAAAAAAAAAAAAAAAGATTGAAACCACTTCAAGGATAAAATTCACAAGGTGCATAAAAAAAGTCACATTAGAACAGTTGAATAGTATAACTGTGTTGTTCAAATGTGCTCTGGTAGGAAAGGGCTGTCTACTATGCTTTTTATTTTATCTGTTTTTTTTCTTTCTTTCTCTTGACTAATTGTAAGTTTACCACAACAGCCACTTAGGATATGCTAATGCCCCAGCTTCTAAAATGCAATGACAGAGTTTGCGAAGCCAGCAGGCCATGTGCCGAGGCTAAGCCCAGGAAAGTATAAAAGCCAGTTTGCCATTTGCATCCAGCCCTGATGTGGCTGTCATGCTTGCCTCTGTCATATGTGGATATTTAGTCACACTCACGTAGAATTTTGATGCTGAGGTACTGACTCAGCTTCTAACGAGAATGTACGCTATTATAGAGTAAATGAGTCAGATGTCCCAGCCTCCAAATAGCTCAGAACCTGTTCTCTAAGAAGCAGCAAAAATCCTGAAGTTCTTTGGCCACACTTTAGCAAGAAGTAAAAGGAATGTTTCCAAAGTTTAAAAAGAAATCACTTAATCCGCTGAGACAGGAGATGGTTGACTGAACCTTATCGATTTAAACCCATTACCATATAGCTTCACATTTGATTATTTCAGCTTGCTAAAATTTTTATAGTTTTTCTAAAAACAAGTTGTTCTTGCCATTCTAGTGGATCCACCTCATATATGAAACACTTTGAAATGTTTTCCTAATTTTTGAGAGGTATTTTAGAAAATAAATATAAATGAATCCTTGGTTTTAAAAATCAGAAAAAAAAATCCTGAGCATTGGAACAGATATGAAATTGATAGTTGGTTGAGAAATAGGGAGAGAGTAAGAATCTTATCTCTGTTTCTTTTTCTTCATCTGATTTCTCTTTTTTATTTATTTATTTATTTTTGAGATATTTTTTTGCTATAGGGTACATGAACTTGCTGGAGAGACAGACGAACAGAAAGTGAGAAATCACCACCAAGGGGGATGGTCATGCTATGATCCTTTCTCCTCCGTTTTCTTCTCAGGATTTGGGCACACACAAGGTGCCAGGTCTGGGACTTGAACTGGTGTCAACCATGTGGGAGTCGGGCAACTTACCCACTATACCACCAGCTGGCCTCCACCTCTAGCTCCTTTTTTTTTTTTTTTTTCTCTTTTTGGTGTTTAAACTTTATTACTTTCCTGGTCTTGTTTGCAATGTGGTCATTTGTGCTTTTTAGAAATACAATGAAGTTCTCTCTGCATCCCAGTATACATTCAAAAGTATTTCCGAATTTAAAACAATGCAAAAAAGGTAACAAAGTAATCTATATTATTTACATTCACACAATTCTTAACTATTTAACTAACTACCCTTTACTTATCTTGTAGCCTCTAACTTCTCTTAATATTTCCTCTTTAGCATTGTTTTTTTTTGGCAATATGATTATTCTGCCCTTGTGGTTTACGTCATACTTGTGCTGCTTGGTGGTTGTTGAACTTTTCGACTCCGTGGGTACATAAATTTTGTCAAATTTGGAAGTGTTTTAGAATTCTTTTTTTCCAAAATTTTTTTGCTTTCTACTAAAAATCCAAGCCTGGTTTTATGTACTAAGCCATACTATTATCCTGTAAGTCATAATATTGGTTCATTTTTTTCAGTCTTTTCCCTATGGTTTATTTGGTATTCATTTCGATTACTGTGTTTTCAAGTTCACTGTTTTCCTCTACAGTTTTGAGTCTGTCATTAATCCCATCTAGAGTATTTTTCATTTCAGATACTATCTATTTTATCTCTAGAAATTCAAACTGGATCTTACATTTTTCATTTCTTTACTCATTATATACATATTTTCATCACCTTGAACAGATGAAATATGTTTAGGATAGCTGTTTTAATGACTTTGATCACTCTTTCATCTGTTTAGTTCTGTGTTAGTGCTGCTCCTGGTTATGGGTCATAGTTTTTGTCTTTTTTGTATGCCTAATAACTTCATTGTGGATGGTAGATGTGAATTTTATATTGTTAGGTGCCTAATTCTGTTATATACTCTTTTTTTTTTTTCAAGAGAGAGAGATTTTTGCTATAGGTCACATGTGCTCTCCTAAGAGACAGAAAGTGAGAAATCACCCCTCCCCTCCCCCGCCCCACGGGGATGGCCACAGAACAATCCCTTCTCTATTCTCCTCTCAGGATTTTGGACACACATACACACACTCCTGGCATGAGTTTTAAGCCATGGAGTCCAAAACTCGAACCATAGTTGACTACATGAGAGTCCAGCAATGTAACCGTTATGCCATCTGCTGATCTTCTGTTACATAGTTTTCAATATTGTCCAGTACATAATGAAATTACTTGGAATCAGTTTTATCCTTTCAGAGTTACATCAAGAGTTATGAGGGTGGATCCAGAGTAGCCTTTAGTGCAAGGCTCTGCTGGCTCGACTACTAAGGCAGTATCTTCCTGGGGGCTCTACTCAATGTCCTGTGTAGTAGGAAGTGTGGTAACATGAACTAATCTCAGCCCTGTGTGAGACTCAGAATTGTTGAACTTACTGATTTCTCAGTGGTACTTTCTCCAACCTTTGGTATTTTCTACATAAACCTCTACAGACTGGCTCTCACTCAAGTCTTGAGATGACCCTTTTGGGCATCCTCAAGCTCTCTCACTCTGTGAGTACCTCTAGTACTCTGCCATGAAAACTCTAGCTATCTGGGCCTCCTTCAACTCCAGATCCATCTTCTTACTTCAGCAAAACTTCCAGATTCTATTTGGATACCTGTCCTAGCACTGCCTACTGGAAATGCCCTCCATGCTAGAAGACCATGAACAGAACTCTTCATTTCCTTTCCTTCTTCCAGTAATAACTGCCCTTTGTTTCCTGTTTTCAAATGTCTGGAAAATCCTGTTTTATATATGTTGTTAATTTTTCTTGTTATATAAGGCAGAAGGATCATTATTCCCTTTTTTATTCCATCATAGCCAGAAGCATAACTCTTACCTGTGTTCCTCATTCCTTTATTCTCCCACAGGTATGGTACTTACCCTTCCCATATTAAACAATGGACAAAGATTTCCTCCTAGTTAGTGCAGAAGCAACTTATGTTCAAAGCTTGAGCTCATGCTAAGCATTAAACTTCTGGCTCTTCTCCTTCTAAGACCTCCACATAGCCAACATCACCTTTGTTCCAATAAAAAGAGAACTCAGTCCTCTCCTATAAGGGATGCATACATCCTTACTAGCTACTCAATGCCATTATAGTCTTCTCTCAAAGCACAAGGGATTCTTGGAAGAAAGAAAAAATGTAGAGCATAGGTCAGAGTCAGGCTAGGCAAGCCAATGGCTCTTGGCATTAGGCAGTGCTAAAGATAAGTTGTGATTCTGGTAGAAAGTAAGGGACAAGAGTTAAGAATAAAATACTTATGTATATGAATTGCTACCATGTATAAAAATTAAGGTTGGCAAGATACATTCTTTGAAACCAAGGATTTTATACCTGATATTCAATAGCAGAGACATGAATGACAACACCCAAAAGAATGGACTAAATGTCAAATAATTGGTATAAACAAACAAGTCAAGTTGGATTTCAGAGGAGAGATCAAGGAAGGCTCATCTGAGGAGGTGTGATCTGAGCCAGGTCTGGAAAGATGCGCAGATTTATCTGGGGAGAAAAGAAGGTAGATATCACCTAAAGGAAGGGGAGATGATATAATCAAAAGAGCAAGTGTAGGGGTCAGCAGTTGGTGTGGTGGTTGGGGTGCTAGAATCCTACATGGCCAACCACAGTCTGAGTCCTGGACCTGGAGGCTTGCTTTCTTACTTTCCCTGTCTCTCTCTGGTGAGTACACATGCCCTGTAACAAATTAATAATAATAATAATAATAATAATGATAATTACAAAAGAAATTAAGTGAATAATTCTTTTTTTGTGAATAATTCTTTTTTTAAAAATGAAGGAAGTGTAGAAAATGATTCTGAGCAGAGAATGATATAATAACATTGAAGCTTTAAAAAAAAACTTAGATAGCTGTTTAGTATAAGCTGAAACATATACTGGAGGCTTGCTTTCTTACTTTCCCTGTCTCTCTCTGGTGAGTACACATGCCCCCCTGTAACAAATTAATAATAATAATAATAATAATAATGATAATTACAAAAGAAATTAAGTGAATAATTCTTTTTTTGTGAATAATTCTTTTTTTAAAAATGAAGGAAGTGTAGAAAATGATTCTGAGCAGAGAATGATATAATAACATTGAAGCTTTAAAAAAAAACTTAGATAGCTGTTTAGTATAAGCTGAAACATATAACAGGGAGAAGAGAAACAAAAACAGCTTGGAGTCTGGAGTCACCCATGACAGAGATAATGAGCCACTACACCAGGGAAGTCATAGGTATGGAAGGGAGAGAAAGTAGAAGCATTACCAAATAATAATCGAGGAGATGTGGTAATTGGTGTCAGATACGAACTGAGAGTAAAGGATGTTGGAAAAAAAGACACAAGTGAGATCGTAAGTCAGGCATTCATTTACTGGGCAAAGATATTCTGACACCCACAGCATAAACTAGTGCCATGTAGAGCTTCGAGAACAGACAAGACATGAACAGGGTGTGTGGAAGGTGAGCTATTTTTAGGGGAGCCCAAACCTCTCCAAAATATTATTAATGCAAGCTTAATCTAGATTAGTGACTTCCAAGCTTTATCACATGCTTCTATTTAGCTAACATCCCAAATATGTGAACTTTCATTTATAAATTATGTGTGTGTGTATGTGTGTGTGTGTGTGTGTGTGTGTTCTATAGCATGGGTATACTAAGTGTATTATAAATTTGTGAAAATAAAAGTTATGAAAAAATGAGGAAAAGAAATGTAAATGGAAGTTCTAGTATTTTCTCCTGTACTCCCATGTTTTCAGCACCTTACTATGGAGACCACTGCTCTAGAGTACAGAACAAGATTAGTGCAATCTCTGGTGCTTTTAGAGGAACATTTATATCTCAGCATAATACTTTACTAATTTCCAGTTTTATTTTTTGTGCAGGCTGGTCTGTGGTTTACAGGAGATGAAGATATAAAAATTCCAGAAAATCCTCTTGAACCCCTGCCATTCAACAGACAGGAGCATCTTATAGAGGTAATTGCTGAGATCTTTTTTAAAAATTGAGCTTTACAGCACTGATCATTTTCCTCCACTTATGTCATTTGCTTTGGACTTAGACTCATCCCTTAGTTCCTTTGCCGGATCTGCAAAGTGTAGACTAATTCTCATTAAGAAGGAGATATAGAGAAGCTCTGAGGGAGAAGATAGGGGCCGAAATCTTAGAGACCTGTTAACCCTTTCTGTGATTTTGGACAACTTCAACAGCCTCTTGATCTTTCACTTTTCTCATTTGTCAGATAAGCTATTATTCAACACCTTTGTTTCTAAGTGTTCTTCCAATTATAAAAGCTTACAACAAAATTTTGTTATTTTACCTATATGCATTGTGTTCATTTCTCCTTGATTTTTGACTAAAGTAGCAATGATTTGCATACAGTATTGTTCACGGCCCATCGGTGCATTCTGCTCTCAATATTACTGTTATCCATCATAACAGTATTATTAGCCTCTATCTCCAAATCCACAATAGAAACCAGTTCCTTAAAATCTACTAGTCATTCTAAAGTCAGTGTAAATGTTTTAAATATAAAAATACACCAGACACAGCCACATTTAGTAAGACGTGAGAAAAGTTGAGTGCTAGATTTAGACATCCCAAAAAACTCTGGATATCGATTCTCCAATTTCCAACCAGCCATTAGAGCAAAATTGAAGTAAAAAAAAATTGCACATGACCCCAGTTATAACCTTAGAGAGAGCAATTCCCTTCCATTGGACACACATTTTTTGAGTACCTCTGTTAGCTTTTTGTAGGAGAATGGGTAAGAGAAAGGGGTCAGCAAGTTATCAAAAAAGTTCAAGATCTGAAGTCAACAGGTGCAGAGGCAGTAGTTTGTTTGTTGTTTTCCATGTGAGACTGGAAAATGGAGATCAATTCTTCTAGAAGGCTTTTGGAAGATGGTCTCTACATGATTTCATGAACAAATCTGCCAATAACAAAAATAGCTTTTTTTTAGTATTTGGGAAGAAATTGGCAGTATGAATATCATGCTAAGTGAAAAGAGTAGTTTCTTTTTCACCCAGAGGTTCTAAAATAATGCCAGTCAAAGGCAGTGCCTTTTAGCTATTCGTTCAGCAGTGAAACAGAAAATGAGTGTTGGTATAAATGAAAGCTTTGGTACCCATCTCCTGTTGGAATAGTCCATGGAAGAAAGGAATGAAGTTGGAAGCAGAGGTGAGACAGTAGAGTCTGAGAAAGAAATATCCCTACAAGGCAAACAGCTGTGTGTGTGTGTGTGTGTGTGTGTGTGTGTTCATGCATGCTTCTGCACACACAAGCATGTAAGATGGCCATATGACATAAAAGATGAAAGTAGTAGTTTTGTCTATTCTTCTCTAGTGCCTCGGGGAGTGGATACTCAGGATTAAATAAGGTCAGTGCTCCCCAACTGAAATAAAAGCAGATTCCACTCTTTGCAAGCTACAAAGTCTCCATGGCATTATCCAATCTGTATGCACCTTGGCTTTTTTATCCGTCTGATGTGGTTGTTGTGCAAAGTGAATTCATACATGTGGTACCCTTAGAATAATGATCGGCACAGAGTAAGCCCTATAGTATTAGCTAAACAGAAGCTAATGCTTGGTCAAACTGGTTAATGATTAACATTCTAAAGAAGAGCGAGAAACTAGAACACATTATATATATATATATTTACTTCTTCAGCTGTCATTAAAATAACAAAGACCAAAACAGGGAAAAACATTCCCCCATTGAGGAGGAATTCTAGGGTAAGCCCGCACTTGGGGCTTAGCAACTTTGAGACTTTCTGCACTACACATCAGCAGCCTGGACTTGCCCCACCTGCTGTCTGCCAAGATACTTAATCATGGTCTGGGCAGGCTTCCTTGGATGAGCCTGCACTTGGGACTTGGGAGCTACATTGGGACTTTTGGTACACCAGTCTGTACTCTGCGCTTTGCATAGTATGTGACTTGACACTCTTCAATAAGTTATAACTCCTTAGCTTGCTAGCACTTCATCAAGAGTTAAGCATTTGGCAGAGGAGCCAAGCACCTGCAGTTACCCCTAACAGCTCTGACCTAGGAGACAGATCTCTCCAGAGGAACACACCTGTAAACTAAGGGTGAAATTTCCTCTACCATTACTGCAGAATCTTCTCTAATAAACAGAAAAAAAAGTGAATACTGTATCCAATTACTAGACACCAACACATATCCCAAAGAAACATGAGAAAACAGGCTGGTACCTCTCCCCCAAGTGAGTGTAGTATCCCCCTCTCCAACAGTGCATAGCACAGAGAAATACACAGAATGTCAGAAAAAGAATTCTGAATATTCATAGTGACAAAACTCAATGAGATCCAAGAAAAAAACAGACTATCAGTTTTAGGAACTGATAAAATCATTTCAGGACATGAAAGAGGAATTCCATAAAGAAATAGATACCCTTAAAAAGAATCAAGCAGAACTTCTAGAAATGAAGAATACAATATAAGAAATTAAAGTCTTGTATTAAGAATTGATCCAAGAAACCATTAACAGCAGATTGGACCATGCAAAAGAAATAATTCCGGACCTAGAAGACAAAATCTCCAACATAGACCAGATCACCCGAAAGAAAGAAAAAACAACCAAAAAAAAAAAAAAAAAGGAAAATTTTAGACATCGAGATGTCCAAATATCTGCATAATGGGTATTCTCCACAAGGTGGAGAATCTGCTAAAGACATGAAAACCCTCTTTTTATGAAATACTACCTGAAAATTTTCCAAATATAGAGAAACATGGAGAAATTCAGACTCAAGAAATAAAAAGGACCCTAAATAGAGTCAACATAAAAAGATCTTCCTCCTGGCACATCATAGCCAGATTGGTAAAAATTAAAGACAAAAATGATATTTTTAAAATGACAAGGGAGAAATGTTAAGTTACTTATGAAGGTTATTCCATTAAGCTAACGTCAGACCTCTCAATGGAAACAATACAGTCAAAAAAAGAATGGGAAGATGTATTCAAAACATTGAATGAAAAAAAAAATTCAATGGAGAATGTATATCCAGCAAGATTAACTTTCAAATGGGAAAAATGAATTAAAGTATTCTCAGATATACAAAAACTGAAAGAAATCACCAATGGTAGACCAGCTATACAGGAATTACTGAGGGGAGTGTTGTGTCAGGATAACTAAAGAGAGATAAACAGAAACAGGAGAACAAACTACTGAGAAAATGGCTAACAAAATGACAGGGATAAATCTGCAAATATCAGTAATAACATTGAATGTTAATGGATTAAATTCTCCCATTGAAAGACACAGACTGGTTTAATGGATACAAAAAAAGAAGCCATCTACATGCTACTTACAAGAAACACACCTCATGATAAGGACATACATAGACCGAAAGAGAAGGGCTGGGAAAAGATTCTCCATGCAAACAGAAACCAAAAATGGCTGGAGTAGCGATACTGGTATCAGACAAAATAGACTTTAAGAAGAAAGTTTTAAGAGACAAAGAAGGACATTATATAATACTAAAAGGACTTGTTAACCAGGAAGATATAACATTTGTAAATATCCATGCACCTAACACTGGAGCACCTAAATACTTCAAAAACAGACTGTTATAGCTCAAGCGAGAGATAGACTACAACACAATAATTATAGGGGATCTCAACATCCCACAACTCCTCTAGAGAGATAATCTAGAAAAAAAAAAAGCAAAGAGATACAAGATCTAAATTATACCCTACATGAAATGGATTTAACAGACATCTACAGAGTATTTCACCCAGCTACCACAAAATATACATTTTTATCACCCACATGGAACATTTTCGAAGATTGACCACATGATAGGATGCAAAACAAGTATTTAAAAATTCAAAAGTATAGAAACTATGTCTAGAATATTTTCCAACCATCATGGAATCAAACTTAAAGTCAACTACAGAAAGAGCCTTGAAAATTCACAAACACATGGAAACTAAACAACCTACCCCAGGATGACTTTACAACTATAGAAGAAATTAAGACTGACATCAAAAAGTTCATATAAACCAGTGATAATGAACAAACAAATGTTCATAACCTATGGGACACAGCAAAAGCAGTCATAAGAGGAAAGTTAATAGAAATTACTACTCACAAAAAATAAATAAATAAAATAAAAAAACACCAGAAAGATAGCAAATAAACAACATAATGACACAACTTAGGGAACTGGAAAGACAACAACAAAAATTCTAAAAATATTCCAGGAGAAAAGAAATAATAAAGATTCAAGCAGAAATAAATGAGATAGAGAATAAAAGAACTATACAGAAAATAAATTAAAACAAAAGCTGTTTCTTTGAGAAGATAAAATTGGCACACCATTAGCTAGATTAATCAAGAAAAACAGAGGAACTAAATCAGAACAGAGATGAGTGCTATTAAAACAGATATAACAGAATTAAAAAGTATCATCAGAGAATACTATGAGTGACTATATGCCATCAACAAACAAAGAAACCTAGATAAGATGGACAAATTTCTAGACACATATAACTTACCAAGATTGAATCATGAAGAAATAAAAAGTCTGAATAGGCTCAAACAAGCAATTAGATTGTCAGTAATAAATAGTCTCTCAACAAGGAAGAGCTTAGGTCCCGATGGCTTTACTTCTCAATTCTACAAAATTCTCAACAAGATACTAGCAAATTATATTCAACAGCATATTAAAAAGATTATACATCATAACCAAATAGGCCTTATTCCAGGGATGTAAGGATGGTTCAATATATGCAAAACAATATATGTAATACAATACATTAACAAAAGTAAAGATAACAACACATGTAATACAACACATTAACAAAAGTAGAGATAAAAATCATATGATCATATCAATCGATGCTGAAAAGTATTTGTAAAATACAATGTCCCTTCATGATTAAGTGTCTCAGTAAAATCAGCATAGAATGGACATTTCTCAACACAATAAAATTCATCTATGAAAAACCCATAGTTAA